TTCAAATTTTAATGACTCTATTTGATATTTTATTTTTTAATAAGGAAAGTTTTTGAAATTTTAATATTCTATAAAAAGAATTACTAATTAAAATGAAATAAATCAATTAGAAAAGTAGAAAAGTGATTAAAATTCAATTCTGAATAAAGATATTGATTCAGAGTTTAAATATTAATGAAAATATCCTCAGGTGATTTCTTCGTCAAAGCATATTTTCGAAAATACAAGTATTCAAAAATCACAGCTTTGATTTCAAAATCTACCTGTCGCGAAGTGTCTTCTTGCACGTAACATTTCAAAGGAAAAGAATAAAATTCTATATTATCTTGAATATTAAACAATTAAATCGTTTAAAACATTATCATGAAAAAAAAATGAAATGATTTAATATCACATTCAAATATTCGTTTTAAATTCATACATTATTATTCACTTAAATATTAAATATCCATATTATTATATTTATCCATATTAAATATACTCTTACAAGTTATTACTTTCAAATTAAATAAATTTCTATGATCAATTTTGAATTAATATTTAAAAACGCGAGGTGCAAGAAGACCTAGCCTAAACTAAATAAATAAATACAGAGAAAATAAATCTTACTACTCACGGATATATAAAATATATATCCGTGGTCACTGTGCTCGTGCAAAATTCTACGTATACAACCAATCACTCGTGTCGATTCGGATCTTTCATCCTACGACATGATTGAGTGACTGGAGGAACCAAAATGCATGCGACTCACCATTAGATGCGAAGAATCTGCATTGCCATTACTGCTAAACCATGAGAAATCATCGTGAAAGCTGTAGCAAAAAGTAGAACATTATATTTTACAAATATGATCAAAATTGAAGTTTATATATTGTGTAATAAAAATAATAATAATAATTTATATTTTTAAATAAAAACTTAAAATTTAAAAATTGAAATTCTCTGATTATCTTTCAGTGAAAGAATAAAAGGCAAAAAAAAATAATTACCTCTTCGCGTGGTGGATGATCGCCTTATTCTTGAGAAAAACACTGACTCTACTAAAAACGAATATTAAAATAAAAAAATAAAAATAAAAAACTACTAATGCGTCTGTATAATCACTGTATAATTACCGAACAAGCACTGACTCTAATTTCGCGTATGATTATTGTAATTAAATTCACTTCACAAAGCTATTGAATTCTAAAAAAAATAAAAAATACTGCGAAACAAACACTGACTCTATAGATCACATTGCACGTGATCACAATGATCTGAAAATAAATTTCATTAATGGGGAGAAGAAAGTTGTTAAAGAAAATAAAATGTTTTTATATGAAGTATTTCTTAAGAAAGACATTATATTACAATATATACATATTATTTTTAAGAAAAATTACGTTTTGAATGTTCATTATTAAAATTAATAATACGTCATTTATTAGAAATATTCGAAAATATTTGCAAATTTTTATATAAAATTTACTATCAACAATTTAGCATATTACGAATTATTTCGAAATTTTTTTATCATCATTTTCATATTTTCAAATAATCAACATAATAATTATGAATTATATATGTACTTACATTTTTCTTCGAAATTAAAACATTACCTTTTCTTCATAAAATATAAATGTCATCATGGCGTCCATATTGATACTTTTCCCGCCTAAAATGATGTCAGCAATCGATTTATCTGAACAAAAAAAAATCAAATGTTTGAAATAAATATATAATGTATATAAGATTAAATTAATAAATAAAAATAAAGCAATAATCTATCGAATTTTATTTTAAAAACTCCTAATATGAGTTAATATGAGTTAATTGTACCGATCCAATAAACGAATAAAAAGTAAAATTATTCTTCAAATAATTATCAACTAGAATAATATTTAACAAATAAGTGAACAAATACAACACAACAATAACACAACAACAATATAAAATAATAATATAATAAAATAATGTAAAAGAATAACTATCAAATATATATTACGCAATAAATTTATTCACACTCGAAACGAAACGTCTAACGAATACGAGTTTCGACAACAGAATGATACTCGCGTGCCTATTGCGATGTATCGAATTACAAAATGGAGTGGGGGGTATGCTCAACAATTCGACTTTATACGTTCGGAATGTGTCGAACGGATACGAATACATACAATAAATTTTCTCGACAGAATTATAAGAAACGTTTTCTTATGACTTTGAGTGTACAATCGAAACAAAAATAAGAAGAACGCAATAATCGAATATTCAGATGGTCATATTTAACAATAAAATATATGAGAAGACGAATAAAAAGTAAAATTATTCTTCAAATAATTATCAACTAGAATAATATTTAACAAATAAGTGAACAAATACAACACAACAATAACACAACAACAATATAAAATAATAATATAATAAAATAATGTAAAAGAATAACTATCAAATATATATTACGCAATAAATTTATTCACACTCGAAACGAAACGTCTAACGAACATGAGTTTCGACAACAGAATGATACTCGCGTGCCTATTGCGATGTATCGAATTACAAAATGGAGTGGGGGGTATGCTCAACAATTCCACTTTATACGTTCGGAATGTGTCAACATATACAAATAGAAACAATAAATTTTCTGGATAGAATTATAAGAAATGTTTTCTTGTGACTTTGAGTGTACAAACAAAAATAAGAAGAACGCAATAATCGAATATTCAGATGGTCATATTTAACAATAAAATATATGAGAATGTGTATATGTGTGAGAATTGATTATTACGATCTAACTACCTAAGTTTTTACACAGATATAAAGATAAAAAAAATTTCTAATAGACATTGTTATTAAAAATGAGCAAAGTCTTACCATATTTGTATGAAAGTAGTTGAATTTTCATAATTGTGATAGTATAAACTGCAAAAACTGCAAAAATTGGTACATTGTCAGCCTTCCCGCCATCGAAGTTGCAATCAAATGATAAAGACACTCGATTCTGCTATAATAATGATTAAACAAACACGTATTGATTAAACTCACTTTAATAATCTATAATTGAACCTAATAACTATAACACTGTAACTCTATCACACAAATTTTATATAATTACGCACTTTTGCCGGCGAAACGTGACTCTTCCTCCTGGTTTTCAACTGTACACTGATGTCATGCGCAATATGATGCGCACTGATTCGTCTTACCGTTAGATCTTAGCGCCTTTCTGATTGGCTGAAGCATAATTTCCTATTTATTTCAGTCGCGCGAAAATTAAATATGAATTTCTATATATTAAAATCTCACAAAAATATTGATTAAAAATATAATAGGAATAGATTATTATATAAGTTAATTTATTATAAAAAATTAATAATCAAATTATATTAATAATCAAATTAAAATATAAAAGATTGAAATAAAATATTAAATTATTACAATAATTTAATACTCGAGATTTAAAAATTTTTAAATTTTATTTACAATATATTCAAGAAATAAAAAAATATACTTAAAAATATAAAAATATACATGTAATATATATATATATATTTATTAGTTTCATCATATAAATTTTTTGTAGATTTTTAATAATATCTTATTTAAAAATTGCTGAATGATATTTTGCTTGTAATTTTTTTGTATTAAAGAATAAATATTTATTATTTAACTCACATAAATAAGAGAAAGAATTAAATTTATTTGCATTGCTTTATTAGCTTTGAAAATAAAAATTTGTTTGCTAAGGTAAGATATACAATAAAACAGTTAATGATCAATTTTTAATTTTACTTTTTTTAAAAATAAAAAATGATAAATTTCTCATGTAGAATAGATAAATAACGATTATTAAATGTATAAGTTAATTGCAAAACATTTATACCATACTTTCATTATAAACATTTACTTAATAAAATTAGAAAAATTTATTATTGCTTGTACACCAATTTTTATCTGAATTTGTTTTAAAAAATGAACAAGATTTTATCATTTTTAAAAATATGAATATTAATGATACCGGCATAATATTTTCATTTTATATTTTTGTTTCTGATATTATTTGATGTTTGATATTTAATTTCAATTTTTTAAATAATTTATTATCTTCATTATTAGTAAATACATTTATGAATAAAATTTTTCAAACTTGCACTTGAAATATACTTTGTGAGTGGACATTAGATTGAAAGATGTTAAATTTCATTATTCAAATCTATTACTTTCGAATTCACAACGCAGTGTTCATTTGCAACAAGTACTCTTCAAATTAATTTTCGAGAGTTTTACTCTCAAAATGTATTTGCATTCTTATGCATAATTCGGTTATCTTTAGGAAACATTGTTATACAGGCTCACGAAGATATTTGAATATTCTTTTTTATATTTCTTATTTCTTTAATAAAATATTAATGAATACTTTTTTATTGTTAATGAAATTTTGCCACTATAGATTATATTTTATATATTTTCTTATCAAAATATTGCTTTTAAAATCAAAAATTTCTCCATTTTTTTGAATATAATGATACAAAACATATTTTAAAAATTTTCAAAAATTTAAAATGTAAAAAGAGTTGTTGAAACTTGACTTCACTTTCGCAAAAATAAAAAGATAATTTCATATATTTCATCCATTCTATACTTCTTCTTATGCTTTATATATATACAAATTTTTATTAAAACCAAAGTTTTCGAGTTAGGTGAATTTCCTTGTAAAATTGTATAAAAATTCATAAGATACTATATGAATCATCTACATATATTTATATATATCTTAAATACATTCATATATACGTCTAAACCATTCGACTTTCTATCGTTTAAATTTTCTCGCGCTTATTAATCGCGATTAACCGCGTCAGCGTATAGTTATATAGATACTTGCGCAATATTCTCAAGTATCAATCCAGTTGTCTATGCGGGCCTTCTATCCTCTTCTGAAGACACATCCTCCGAAAAATTTAATCAACTCTTATTCAAAAAGAAAAAAAAAATCTTCTTTACGATTATTTTCTTCGATCTTCCAATCATATATCTTGTAACTTTTATTGGTGGAAAATTATGCGACAAATATTAATTGTGGAATGAAGAAAAATGAATAGATAGAATCATCTCTGGAATTGAAGATACGATTAAATTACGTAGAAATTGAGATACAAATCAGGTAATTTTTTTAAAGTGGGTTTATTACGTATTCTCGTTTCATATCGCTATTGTGTATCATCCGGTGATGCAATAATGGCACATAACGATTTATAATTTAATCTCATATTCCTCATAGCATCTTCTGAGTCAAAGTGTATAAAAATATGCCACGTGGATGAAAAACATCCCGATTCCTGTAATAAAAATAAATAGATAATAAAGCAAATATTTTCTATTTTAATTATCATTCTTCTTTAATTGAAATATCCTGTTCTGACATTTTTTCACATTCCAAAATATATTGCAATATTTGAAGCTCCATGCATCTTTACTTTTTAAGCGAACATAAGAAGTTTATAAAAATTTTGTAGAGATATAAAAATATTTGAAGTTCCAGGTTTTCTTTAACTTCTAACTTGAAAGTTAGAAACTACTATATACTTTTTAAAAATCTATAATCAAATTTATCTTATATTCTTGTTATCAAAAATGTCAGAGAGAAATTTCATAAGTAATGTTCACATACACTTACTAAAATTCAATTTATTCTTCTTATCAAAATCATATCATAAAAAAAAGAATAATACATTTTCATATATTCATATATTTCAAGTAAAAACGAAATTATAAATCGATATATTGTATTATACGACTGAATGATACGTGTAGAACTTACCATACATGTAAAACTTGTACTTCTACCATCGATTCTACAATCATATAATATAACTGATACAGTGTTTCCAACGATTGTAATCCCGTCTGCATGTAATTTAAGATTCCAAGCTAGCAACACGATTCCTCTCCAACCACTCGACTTCTTGAAATCTCGAAACCTTGAAGCAGAAACATTTCACTTTTACTTCGAAATAAGCGCCCGCGGCAATTGCCCAGAGGAGGCAGCCATTTTTTTTTTTTTTTCAAATATTTGCTTATGACTATAAACGAGATCTCTTGCATCCCGTAATCGTTTCGTTGACATTATTCGTTACTTTCTTTCCTGGTATTCAATCCATCTCGCTGCCTTCGACGCAATTAATCGTAAACATAGTAAATATGGATTTTTATGCAAATAAATATTATATAAGTAAACATGAAACGACATAGAATGAGTATGTTACATATTTTTCTTTCGATATTAATTTTATTTGGATTTTATTATGATTTAATATATATAAAACAAATTTAACGATACTTTAAAAAATTGAAGCAATTGTGTGAATAATATATTTATAGAAGGACAATATATTGCATAATATATTTACAGATCTTTTGCCAACTCAATTTTTTAAAGTATAAATAATAACAAATTTATTTATTAATTTATTAAAACTTGTTTTAATTGCATAAAAATCTGCAATCTAATAAAAATAAATGATTAAATAATGAGATTGATAAAAATACCAAATAAATAGATTAACAAAAAATCGAAATCCAAAAAACATAATCTTTTAATTCATATATCTGAATTAATCAATGATCCCACACGAATTTGTAAAATCCTTTTTACACATGTTCATATAACTTATATAAGTGATGAAAAATTAATTTTATCCGTTTAATAAATAAACAAATAAATAAATAAACGTGTTTTCTAAACATCGAAGAAAGAAACTTTCCTTTCGCGAATGATGGACCAGATATAATTCAGGCGAACCATTCTTCACATCACCCAAATGTCCCTAGATTCGATACAAGCGCCAATTCGCTCTCAAGATTGGCAGCTGTTGCCCACAAGATTATGCAAACCTTTAGCCAGGTTCCGTGAAGAGAAAATACGTAATTAATCAACGAATGTGCTATTCGGGGCAACGCGAACGTTTTACGACCTTAGCTGTACAAAGGCTTGTCACTTTCTCGCGATGCTTTTCATAACAAAATGCAAATACGCCTGCACACTGTCCCTACCCTCGAGACAACGTTACGTCGTTGATATTACGATTGTTAATTATTCGTATACATGCTAATTGCGAAGTCAACTAAAAGATGAACAAGAAAATTTTTTGACCAGATGGATGTTCGGATTGTATCGACTATTAGTTGATTAAACGTGTAAGGTTATTCATAGACACGATGAAGCATAAGAAAAATGGACATACTAATGAATAGACTGCGAATATACTTAAAGATTTGAATGAATAAAAATTTACAGAATATATACGATATATAAAAAGACACAAAACATTCAAAGATACGATACATTATATATTGAAATAAATGTTTATTTGAGCTATATTTTTTATATTAATAAATATATATATTATAAAAAATTATTTTATAATACAGTCAATTTAATTATATTCAGATTTTTTTCTTGACAAATTTCGAGCTCATCATGATACCTATAAATTATAAATTACATTTAATGCATCGATGCACATTGTTAGATTCATTCGAATTTTTCAATGAATTTTTTAAACTTACTTTACACAGAATATTTCAGAAAATAGGTGGACTTGAATTTTCTTAAGAATTTATTCTTATTATTCGTATCTTATCGTATTTTGTATTATCGCTTATTCTTATCCAATAAAGGAATCAAACAATTTTATTTGTACTGCAAAAATTTCTAAATTTAATTTATTCGAAAATTTGAAACAAAAGAATCCTATTCTTTCTTTTTGATACATTGTAAAATCATCCATTGCATGTAAATCATCTTTTATTCTTATGCATGATTCACGAGATACTATACTTGTATACAAAACGAACAATAGATTTCTCGTCAACAATATTCTATAGTTATCGTAAAATTTTTGGTGCTGAAAAATTTTGTGGAGATTTTCAGCTACACGAAGAGATACCGACATTCGTAACCGCTACATTGTTCGCAAGTCGACTGTATTTTACCTTTCTTTTCCTTTCTTTCGATAACAAAATATTTTTCAATTTAAAAAATTATCATATTCTTTTTAGTTTTATTATTATTAAATTAATAATAATTATTATTAAAATAGTAAAAATATTTGATTTTAATTTTTTAATTTTAAATAATCTTTAAATACATTAATCATGCCCTTGTATTATACAGACTCTAAATGAAAAGTTGCGTTAAGAGGTTAGGCTACTTAATGCGATTTGCGTGATGCTTCTACAACTGTGTACAACGCATCTTCAGTTATAATGAGCTAAATACTTTGACCGGTATCCGCAACTCGTGAACACGTGACAACTTTGAGTTTCCCAACAGATTTGGTTAACCTATCTCTTTGATTCAGTCTTTTCTTCGCAATTTTCTTTTAGATTATTTTTAATCCAATCGTGTTTTTTACATTATTAAAATATTTCTTCGTATGAAAAAAATATAAAAAAATCATTATTAATATTATTTGATTTCTCGTCTCAATTTTATACCAAAATCTTTTTAAAGATGTAAAAAACTTTTTTGTGAATAGGAAACAGAAGAAATTTTAAATGTAAAGTTTTTAAAAACACAATAAAATTGTCTAATTGCCGTAGAAATTTTAAATAAACTTAATTTAAATAAATTAATATTGTATCGACAATCGATGCAAAAAAACTCCAATTGTTTCAGTTACAAAGGAAATGAATATTATATTTTTCAATTTTAAAAAGTATTTAATTAATCGTTATATGAATAATGTATTTATTGTCACTGTATATATTTTAAAAAATTATTCAAAGTATTTCAAAACATTAGATAAGATAATTAGACTAAAAATTGATTTCGTGAGTTTCGTGTTCGAATCTGAACGCATAGGATGAAAGAAAGGTAGAAAGTTACTTATTTTAGTGAATACATAAAACAGTCGTTAAGCAAAAACTGCTGAAAAATAACTGAGAAAGATTTCCGGAAGAGAGAAAAGGTTATTGAAATTTGTGAATATTCCTGCGGTAAAAGTCATTTCGAAGTAATTGTAATTACGTGATTCTAGCTGCTATGTAATACTAACTTTGAACTAGATCCCTGCAACTCAACTTTTAAACAAGTACATAGTAATTTCAGTAGCAATTGACTATGTTTTACTTACAATCGTTCTTCGTAACCTTGTTAAATGATTTTTACTTCACAAAAAACTTAAATAATAAACTTAAGTCACAATAAACTTCACTAAAAGATTTTATCGATAAGATATTTTGATATGATTGAACTATGAAACTAAATCATTGCAATTGAAAAACAAAGATCATTGAAACATAAATATGAAATCTTAATTGAAAGAATTGGTTTAATATTTTCCGCGAAGGTGGCACTGGTGTTCAATGTTTCAATGTTTCAATGAAATATATGGTAATTTTAACAAGATCAATAAGGTAGGTATCTTTTTTACCAATCTCGTGCAAACCGCCATATTTAATATTTATATAGTAAACTCTATTTTAAACTATGCTTTCTTATCAAATTTTAATTCCTTTCTTCATCAATAGCTCCTAATATTTTTCATTTTATGAAGCATGATATACGTTATACACATTATATCTTTGAAATTTATTTACTATTGCAATAAATAATATCATCGAATATTACTCCAAAATTATTACTATAAAATTCTATATCTTTACGTGAAATTGCAATTGCCTCGATATAACGCAATTAAATAATACAAAAAGTTATCATCAAATATCTTCTGAAACTGAAGAAAATTCAACCAAAGAAATAATATTGATGAAATGTGTCTGACAGTTATTAGATTATAGTTTTATTACCTTTTACTTTAATGAACAATTTTATCTTTTTATTATTTTAAAATGTACATTATTTTCTATTATATTGAAAAATAAAACTATATAATTCTAACTGTTTACACTCTTGGTTTCATATCTATATAATATGAAACGTGTTTCTCAAATTACAAGGAATTCTATTATAATATAATATAATTAAAAATATAAATAAAAATTCAAAATAAATAAAAGATTATTATATTTGTAAAATTGCTTGACTAAACGAAGAATTACGGAAGCAATTAGATAAATTCCTATTATACGAACAAGCTATTTAATTAATCGAACTCGACAAAATCATACAAATATATTTTTATGGTATTTTAATTATTTTATTAATTATAAATATTTTATGGTATTTTTATTATTTATAGTAATTAATCCTTTGTTATTAAATATTAATCCACTTAATTTTAACAATAACAGTAATTCTAATAATAACAATAATAAGAAAAAAACAATAAAACGAAGAAAAAGAAGGGAAAAAAGGAGGATTAACAGAGTTTAAGTCGTAAAATTAACTAAAAGATCATAGCTTGGAACTTAAAACCAGTAAATCGCATCGCTTTTGCTAGTTATTTTACGATCAACTACGCGCAGTTGCATCCTGTAACAGATTTAATATCCTATTATTTTCTCATTAATTCGACTAATATGATTGCCTCGTCACTACGCGTATCAAGTGTACCATCTTTACGTTTTCAAAATACGCATTGTAATTCAAATTTTTACGCAAAAATCGAATATCTTCATAGCTTCATTTTCTCGTTCATCGAATGAAACGATTAAATCTGTATCGATTTGTTAAAATCCAAATCACAGAGAAGTGACAATTCTTATGCTCGAAGCTGAGTTTAAAGAAAGATTCGAACTAAGAATCTATCACTTTCCTTCGAGTAAGTTTCAAAATGGAAATGGAAAGTATACTTCTAAGAAATTATACTTAAAAACTTGCAACTAGTTTTGTGAAACATAAGCATTTTTTCTTTTTTTTTTTTTTAATTTTGTAAAAACTATCACTTTTATTCAAATAAGTTTCAAATTGAAAAAATGCAAAGTGGACACATTTCTAAGGATATTATAACTAAAAGTTTGCATTCTTTTCTGAAACTATGGTCATTTTTTTTTTTATTTGCATTATCAAGTTACTCTTAACGACTTTATTTTTCTATTTTAGAATAAACTAGGAAAACAATTACTTTACAAAGAATTAAGCTCTATAATTTAAGAGCTATCACTTTTAAGTGCATTCCAAATGTAAATGGGAATAGAAATCAGACATTTTCTAAGAAATTTAAAAATTTAAAAATTTACATTCTTTTGTGAAACATAATCATTTCTTTACTTCATTTTACATCATTTCTTTTCTTTTACATCAAGAGATACACTGAGAACACTGTAACGACACTAATTTCCCTTAGGTCAAATTTTAGAAAAGCAATTACTATACAAAGAATTAAATTTC